TATTTGGATGGCAGCGGTAGTTATAGTAACGAGATAGGAATTACAATTAGTTACTATGAGATACTAAACAGTGCCATGAGTGAATTTCATCGATGGTATGATTTGTAGCAATGCGAGATAAGCTTCAGAACTCAACTTTGAAATGGAGTCAACAGCATATCATCTTGTAGCTCTTGTTCTTTGACTTTGATTAATTCTGAATTTCTCATTTTGTTTGTAGGGCTAACATTTATATATGTCTATCTTTGATATCTAATTATTCAAATGACTATACCGAAGACAATTTTGTTGAATTTACACATCGGGAAATGGAACTTATGGCCCAAATACCCCCCTCTCAATCTCATTTCCTATTCATTAACCCCGTTACCCTACCAATAAACACTCGTTCTCACTCTTATGTACATAATCCAGAAGGAAGCTGAAAATCAAAGGGGGCAATTTCCGTAGAAATAATAAATCATTGAGGTATAAAAAGATCTTTTCTTATATCATTCTTTCAAGACTACACAACCAACGCATTACGCCCGATTCTATCAATACAGGTCATTTTCTACTTCACAACGAAATATATCAGAAAATCAGTAACTCCACCTATCATCTACCAGCTCATGCAAAAGACTTTCACTTGATTTCCAAATATTCATCATTGAAATAAGGTGTCCTACAAACTTTTCGAATATTTCGACAGTAAAAATGCTTGCGGCTTACTTAGCGAGCGATGATTAAAGGGGCAGAGTAAACATTTCGGCAACCATAAATCTGTCCAACTACCGTTATAACCACCGTCACTAAGACCGAAGAAATATCACCAATTTCTACAATGACGAGAACTGGTATAATACATGCTTCAACTTCTCTTCCCAGATGGTAATGAGAATCGAAATCTACTTACAAATAAAATTAGAGATACCATTGCGATGACTTGCTTCCACGTAAATGGACTAGAGACGGGAATTATATCCAGTAGAACACAAAGAGAGTGTATAATCCGACTTCGCAATCAATAGATGATGGAACTAAATACATGCAAACTTCAAAGAAAAGTTCACCACTTTCATTATGAATTCTACATTCTGAGATTTACTCATTACCTTCTAGTATGTAATCTTATGATGATTAGAAGATAATTCAGGGACTTGTATAAATATCCTCACTCGTACCAGCTGAAGCAGGTAAAAATAATAATAGAGTCAACCGGGATTGATGACTCATAGGATTAAGATATAGTTGTTAATCAGGAACATCCTCATCTCTGTTCTGGCGAGATCTAATATTGAAGAATGGGCGTTGAAGAGTAACAATGTATTACATCGCGATGATGAATATGTAATAGTATACTGATGATTATTCTGAATGAGAATAGTTAAACGATTCAAAAACAACAAGCGAAACCAATAACAGCGACACAATCCGATATATATCTCTCCCTCCCTCCCTCTCCTATCAAATTTCTCTTCCCTCACCTCCTTCCCATTCCCATACAGAAAGCATTTCTCAATCTCTCAGTTCTCGAGAAAAATAGTAAACAAAAATAAAGAATCCACAAAGACCTTTGACTTTTTTTCCGCTGGAGGAAATCTCTGAGAATACAAATCGCAGCATCAATAACAAAGTATTTATACTTATCCCCCCATTACTTCACTCTACCCCTCAAGAAATTCTCCCCCCTCCAATTTACAAAGTATCCCCAATAACAAAAACCTCCTATTTACTCAAAATCTTTACGTCCATCACCCATCCCATCCCATCACCAGAAATTTTCTTCTCTCCATCCCATACAACCACAGTCTGTTATGCAAGAAGCAGGCCTCAAAACTAAAACTCGCGGTACGAATCTCCCATTCTAAATCTCTCACACGAGAGATCAAATCAGATATCTCACGAGTCGATACACACACAGATCATCAGATACCTATACTATATCTATCTCTATTATTCACAATAGAATTCCTTTATGATGACAATAATGATAACGATACTAGGTTTTTTTTAGGATAAGAAAAAATGAAAAGGAATATATATACTCATACATTATATCAAGAATCACCATTGGATACCCCTCTCTCCCTCTCTCCCTCCCTCTCTCCCTCTCTCCTCTCCTCCCTCTCTCTCTCTCCCTCCCTCTCTCCCTCTCTCCCTCTCTCCCTCTCTCCTCTCTCCCTCTCTCTCTCTCCCCTCCCTCTCTCCCTCTCTCATCCCTCTCTCCCTCTCTCTCCCGCTCTCCCTCTCTCTCCCTCTCTCTCCTCTCTCCCTCTCTCCCTCTCTCCCTCTCTCCCTCTCTCCCTCCTCCCTCCTCCCTCCTTCCAAATCCCTCCCCCATCTTCTCCATCTAAACTCAAAATCCATCAAACTTCCCACCACACTCCACCAGTCTCAATTAATCGCTGGGATGGGCATAACATAAAATTTCATACCCACCCTCTTTATTCTACTCTACATGACAGAGAATACATGTGTATACATCCATTCAATCTTCAATTCAAGTCTTCACTTTGAAATATTCAATGTAATATAAAATCCGATATACATGTATGTGTATGTGTATGAATGTCAAAGTAAGGTAGGTAGCTATTATCAACTTCTCAAACGTATTTTATGGTATCATGTTCAAGCTCCTCCTCTCCTCCTCTCCTTTCCCTCTAGCTACCCCATTCCAAAATCCACAACTCACATGTGCGCATTAGAAGTACATCATTGCCATACCCTGCATTGATCAAATTAAATTAAAATAATATCCCAAAAACGCCGAGCCACGCTGATGCAACCTTTCATCCACCTAATAAATATACAATTCCATATGGTTTTCCTGGCGCAAGCCTCATCCATGTATGCCTATCGTGTACAGTTTATTTGTTTTTCGTTTCGAATTTTCCATCCACTTGACTCGTGAATGGATTCCACTTCCATCTCCTCATCAATCAATCTTCGATCGAATGCCCTTTTTCCGGACACACAACTCAAAGCACTCGTCTCATCAACACTCAACCTAAGCAGCCCATTCCACAACCTCCAAGGCACACATAACCAGAATCAATGTACTTGGCAAAATCCAAATAACATAACTTTGGAAAAGTAATTTACTCATCACTCCCTCATAAACCCCATTGATTTGACAGATCTGCGCCAATTGCAAAGCACTAGGTGCACCTGTCAACAAAAAGCAGACGATGACGAAAATTGGATCATCCAATATGCTAACTGGAACATATTTTGCTGTTAAAGCTAAAAGTGGTGCCATGATCAATGTTGGAAGTAACATTCTGGAGATCAAGGAAGCGATGAGAAGTTTTGTGCCAATTTGATTCTCTTCTGAATTTTCGTCGAGAACATGTTGAGGAAGTGTATTTCTAGCAAGGTTCGCACCGAGGACGACTAAGATGAGGGGAACGGCTACACCTCCTGATTGAGAGACGGCTCGTGTAACGGAGTTGGCGATGAAGGATCCCTCAGCGAAGAAAAGGTGTTGAAGTTTTGGAATAGATGCGACAATCACAGCGAGAAGCATAGCCCAGAGGGGGGGGTTCATGAATTCCCAAAGACCATTTAAAAATTTGTTGGTAGAATTTGAAACTTTCGTGACGAGTCCTTGAGCAGGAGTTGGTAAAGAGTGATAGGTGTGATGAGATGCTTTAGCGACGGTTCGTTTAGTATGGAATTTTGCCCTAGGGATCCAACCTCGAATTCCATCTGGAATTTCTAATTCCTCTTCGGATGGTGGTGTTCGAATACTTGGGAATGAGGTAATATCATCATTGTTACCTGGTAAGTGATTTCCATTCGTAGGTGTGGCCATGATACCAGGTAATTTTGCAGGTTCTTCTTCATCGGAATTGTCATGTAAAGCGTGGGTAACTGGTGTTCTGCCACCGAAATTGGAAGAGTTTGAGGACGATTCACCATTATCATCATTATCTTCTTCGCCATCCAATCCAGGGATTAGAACAGGTTCATCTCTGTATCGTCCTTCTTCTTCATCCTTATAGGTTTCGGGTGGTGCAAGTAAAACATGATACCCCCAACTCCAACGAACTAGTTGACCTAATTGTTGAAAGATGAGAAGGTATAGGATACCTCTTGCGCCAACTTCATCGTCGTTATCTCCAGGTATTTTGTCCCAATGTAAACCTTTTAATGTTTGCGACAATGAAATGACGAGGGAAATGGGTAAAGAGTTTGAATTCCCGAATACCTATTAAGACTATTAGCACTTGTATCAATCGAAAGGTCGAAGGAACAATAACATACACCCATCGCAGTAACAAAGTTGGCCGGTCTCTTTCCAAACCCAAATGCCTTACCAACCCCTACCGAAACTAGATATGAGACCAATGTTTGCACGATGAAGATGACTGGGATGACTGCAAGTTCGACCAATTTATCTGCCGTCAATTGAGATGCCAATTTGGTGAAGACTATCCAATTTATTAGCCTTTATCCATATTTCTCCAGGTCCCAAGGTACCTACTCAAACAAGGTGTGAAGAGCGCAACATTGAGATTTGCAACAAACTTCTGTTTGTCTGCATCGAACATTCCTTGTCTTGCCACGATATAACCGGGTAAACTAACACATACGACTTCCATGACGGCTTCGAAGACTAATAGTATAAGATGACCAAGGGCAGGATGTGAAGAATGGTCATTTGCCATAGTGCCGAACGCGACATCTGTTAGGGATCGTGTTGAGATAGAAGATGCGCCGACATCGTTATTGGTAGCTAGATTGGCCAGTCGAAAGGAAGTAGGTGATGTGAATAATCCCATGATGATTTTAACGGGATCGAACGATCAAACCAAAGTCTGCGATAGAAATTGGTCGAAGTATGTGAGGTTGTTGATAATCGAGGTACTTTCGTCCTCTTCGACAATTGAGGTTTCAAACAATCTTTGAAGAAGTTTGATGATGTTTTTCGTATGTTTGAATTAAGTTGGTGAGATTGTTCGGCGTGATTGGAAGACAATCAAATATATTGATGAAGTGAAGCGCAATCAGCTTCTCTATTTTACTCCTTTCTTCTTCTTCTTCTTCTTCTTCTTCTTTCTTTTCTCCCTCAAGCTATTGAATGAGAAATATTGAGCGACGGCGGCTGTGTAACGACTGGGCAAAACTGACGTGGTTTTAGCTTTTCTTGGGCCGGACCTGAATTTTGCAAATGCGATAAGGCCAAGGATGGTATGGTCGAATAAGTAGCTAGACTGCGTCCTGTACCGTACCTTGGTAAATGATTACTTACGGAAGATGTGGATGTTGATCCGTTCTCAGCCATTCAATTTTTTGACCAAGTCTGAGCAAGTCGCCGCGTGGACAAATAACATTGACGAATGAAAGGGCGATGATGATGACAAGGAGTATGAATAAGTAAAGTGCTTATGCTTGTGCTTGTGCTTATGCTTATGACGGGACTGGGTAGGTATATGATGATCTGACGGTTTGATGTTGAGAGTTGGTGAGAAGTTCTTGAGTTCTTGAGTTCTTGAGTTCTTGAGTTCTTGAGTTCTTGAGTTCTTGAGTTCTTGAGTTACATTGAGTTGAGGAATTTGATATTGAGAAGTAGGTATGGTCTGGTATGACAACAACAAATAAGGCAGCAAACACTTGAACGTAAGAGTCAGTGTGAGTAAGAGCACGAGGGTCAAACAAAGAAGTTGACTGGAATTATCAAGAAGTTGATTGAGGCGTAAGATGTTCTTGGAATTAAATCCAGTTATGATTGGTTGAAATGTGATGTTGTGATATGATAAAGAGATAAAAAGGAGCCAATTGATGGGAGAATAGGTAGGTATCAATATCGTCAATTGAGTGAACTGAAGTGAAATGGATTGAAGATTATGGTAAGATTACATTCCAATACTCATAATTGTCGAGTACTTGCCAACTCTCATATATACTCCAACTCCCTCCTCCTTCACGATACACAATAAGGCTTCATGCAGGTGCGGTACATTGGTCACAATAATATTCTACCCACTACCTCTCGGTATTCGGCCAAGACGATAATGCTACCTCGATGTTGTATCCGAAGGATTTTTCATTATCGTCCCTCCGTATCTATTATATAAAGAAAATCTATTCACATCTTCTGGTGCTTCTCATTGACATATACTTTGGTACATTGACCATTGAGATGTGAATGTCTGGAAATGCATGTCACAAATGGTATCGAGGTATGTGATGTATAACAAAAGAAGAGAAATCCTTCATGTCATACTTCTTGGTGTGTAACTTTGTGATGCTTGGTGCTGCTTGGTGCTGCTTGAGATGATGAAATTGTTGGCTTGAATGATATCAAATTCATGGAAATAGGAGAGGAGAGGGATCCTTCGTACATTCGATATACCATTCAAATCAAGTCAATTCAGCCCAGCTCGTAGTCTCTTCGCCTCTCTTCGCTCTTCTCCGTATATATTTCATCTGTCATATCCACTGTCCATTGTTCATTGTCCATATCACCATCAATCATATCCACTGTCCTGTCCATTGTTCACTGTCCATATCGCCATCAGAATCAATCCAACTTGTGTATGGTCGCTCACCTGGGCACCTGCATTGATAACAAGCGATACCCAGCCACTACTCATACCCAGCCACTATTTACATCGAGCCACAGTGCCACAGTGCCCGCCACAATAATGACGATGAAATCTTTCCCAAGTTTCAAACCTCACCTTGGCACTCACTCACTGCCAAAACTCCACAATTTCTTGGCTTTCCTTGTTTATAGATGAATGACTGACGTTAACTTGCATGAAGAACCGAAAGAGAAATGTCAAAGCATCCAATTCAATCATATCCAGTGTTACCCACTCGACTCGAGCCACTCTATAAGTTGGCATGATTCCACTCATGAAGAAGCTGGAGACATCCCAAATGGTAAAAAGATGCTGCAAGGGAAAGGTGTTGGTAATAGCCGACATGCCTACATGCCTACCTAGCTCCTAGATTCCAGGAAATATAACGACGGGACGGGAAGGAAAGTACAACAAACCATGTGGAAGTAGTATCAAGGCTGGTGCCCTATTTTTTATGAAACCAAGAATGCATACCTAGGTAACCGTCGCCACGGAGAGACCTATCAAATCATATATCAAATCATGTATCAAATCATCGATCCAAATTTAAGCTTGAGGTTAGAGAATTGGGGGATGCAATAGGGAAGAGTATGACTTTTGACAACTTGGATTGGACCCTTCATTCCGATTATGCTTTCTCTATGATGAAAAGTTAAATATAGTCAGGCGTATGTTTATGGATACATTAGTACTAATGGATGGTCTACCGACACCGCAGCCTCAGCCTCACTCCCTTTGGATTGATAGGGGAAGTTGAGTTCCTGGGAAGTGAAAGTGGAAGTGGATGAGAATGAGGATGAGGATGAAGATAATTATGCTAAGGCGGCTTATACCGTCAATACCTCCCTAGTATCTCCTAACTTGACTCGTTTACCATATCTACCTAGTATCTAATTGCAAAACTTGCCAAACTTGACATTACCATCAGAGAACCGGCACTTGGGTACCTATTGGAGTTGAATGTTTGGGAAATGATATCAATAGTAATCAAGATCCTAGCCGATATAACCTACACACTATACATATTATACATCCATATTATTATCATCATTCGTAGATGTCTTATCGAGCAGAATTACAACGGGACGTGTTTTGCCTTTTCTTCAACCACGTCATCCAGGGTCTAATGTCCCAAAGTAGTCATTGTACAGTAAATATATCGATCCAGGAAGGGTAAAGAAGAGGTGAAGAAAAGTACGTAGATGTAGGTATATCACTCCATTGATCACAACGTCAAAGGGTTTGTTTGGTATGTTTACGTAGATAGTCATACATATCGTAAGTTGATCTACATTCAATTCATGGTTCGAATCATACCAATTCTTCTTCATACTGCATACCTCATACTCCATAGTCCATGCATAGTCCATACAAATGGGACAAATCTGATCAATCTCCATCTCCAAAGCAATTGATCCACGAACCAAAGAGTTTGGACAATCCATTTCTTTCGTATGTGGCTTGACTTGAATTCAAGATTGATAGGAGAGTGGGTGGGTGGGTGGGTGAGCTCCGAGATGCCCCCTGGTTTATTAGGATGGAGATTTGAAGATTGGATGGAGATTGGGGATTGGAGAAAATGAGGGACTAGAGTTGCGAAGTGAGAAAATTGAGGGAAAAAATGAGAAAATGTGATTCAATTGTGATCCAGTGAAAGATCCATCTCCTCGCTCATCTGAACCAATCAAATTGATGAATCTTTTCATGCGAATTGAATAGTACTGGTACAGGAAGTAGTAATTATTACTCTTGAAGATAGCTTCACTCCAGCCGTACCAGTATACTCCGTACTCCGCGGGTACTAAGTATGGATATCACGATTCGCATTCTGATTCTCCCACCCCCTCGAATTTTATGCTCCCCCCCCTCATCAATGCCCCTCCATCAGATCGATTTTCTTCCTTCACTCTCGGATTCAACGTCATCGTGCTTCAGATGCTCCCCATTCTGTCATTTGGATCATTGATCATTTATCATTTATCGTCTTTCATTCGATACAGCAATGTGATGGATGGATTTTATCTATTCTGTGTATAGGATTTAGTCTTTACGATGTGAAATAAGACAGATAAATGAATAAATGCCTATACATATAAATACCGAGGTGTCCCGAGGTCAGTATAGATGTAGATATAAATACCTACTAGGTAGGGTAGATGTAGATATAGGCATAGATATAATTGCAAATGTAAATACAAATACAAATACATATAGAGTACATCTAATCTAAATTCAGATCGAATTTTACAACATCTAGATCTATAGAAGAAATATCGATATTAACATTTACAGGTATAGGTATCAAGTCAAAACAAATAAAACAATACACATCATCAACTTGAGATCGAAAGCAAAAGCTTCATTTTGTTGAAAATGATTCAAAAGATAGATGGGTGGTAGTACTTACCTAGGTAAATAATATATAGTAATTATAATTGTCTTTCATTATATTATTTATATTATTGTCCTTGTTTTACCAGTACTAACTATATCAGCAATTGTAAGGATTGGTTACGGATCACCTGCCACTTACGTTCTTACGTTCTTACGTTCTCCCATTGATTGCTAACTGACATCAAGATCTTTTTGATTTTGAATGCTTTTTGGGACACTATAACTAGAATCTCTTTCACCAACTTCCCACCTCGATCCCATACAATCACAAACATACCATGGATTCGATAATCTCATCAAGATCCTAAATAAATATCTGGGAATTCCATGAAAACTTCTCAATTCAATCTCTATTACTACGACTACCCACCTACTCTCCTACTACTCTCACTACTCTCACTACTTCCACCACTTCCACTACTTCCAACACTTCCACTACTCTCACTACTCTCACTACTTCCACCACTCCCACCACTCCTACCACTCCTACCACTCCTACCACTCCTACCACTCCCACCACTCCCACCACCACTTCTACTTGTCGTAAATATCATTTCCCCTCATTATTAATCAAAGCTTCGTCCCGTCCCATTAAAGAACCTAGACCTCCAGTCTCCAATCCTTCTTTTTGCCAACTATTATAAACCACTCATTCGGCTCGACACATCGGGAGTGAAAGATTCGAAGAGAAAGGCAGAGAAAGGAAGAAAAGGAGCAGACTAAGAAGAAGAAAAAACCACCAGAAAAAAAAAACCAAGTTAGATACGGCGCCCCCGGCATCTTAAGCTTCGACCCGCTACGACCAAAGTTCAAATCAGTCGATAGCTTCATTTCTTCGTCTCGAATTGCCCCAAATATTCTTTCCACCAAAGGTCAAGACCCAGATTCTTTCGCAGACCACTATACCAACTTGTGGCTCAACGACTCCATTATCTCCTAAGGATAATCTAAACACCTAAACACCCAAATAAAGTTCACACGAGTGAAAATCAGAAGAACTACTGGTAGATATTTGGTCTAGGTATATCTAGCACATGCTCTAGACCAGCCTTCCCTCTTCTTGATCGGAATATTTCCAGTTCATCAAAGTCAGTTTGATTCATCAAGAAGGTGAGGCCTCCAATCTCTACTCTTCAATCCAAAATATACTTTTGCCAAGAGAGATATCAATCACTTCATGTACTAACTAATCCTTTTCACGCCAGAAAGGTTGACAACAACATTCGATTCTTACCCCACCGCTCATAATATCTCTCGAATGCGAACAATTCTCTTATCAGCATAATGGCAGATAATCCTCGACTAGATACGATGGGTGCTCCGGGCGATTCAATCGATTTTGCTTTTAAAGATACCCCTTCTCAAGAAAAGCCTACCGATGATCAAACGACCGAAGCTCCTACATCACCTAGTTCTTCGAAACCTCCTACTATACCGTCTCTTCGACCAGCGTCAGAAAACGAGGGAATAGCCAACATGACAGCATCTTCCACACCTCTTGGTATGTTGCAGAATGCCAGAAGACCAAGACCTGGTCCATCGATACCAGGAGGAGGTAGATCCTCACAAGCGGGCAGACAACCTGGTGGTGGTTTACCTACTTCCATGGCAGAAAAAATGAAGGCATTTCACGCATCAAGACAAGGCGCACCTTCCCCACGACCACAATTACCCGCGACAATTTCATCACCGGGGGTCCCAGCTTCACCTGTCGTAGATGGATTACCTGGAGGATTACAATTACCACCCAACATGCGACCTCCACCACAAAACTTTGCTTCCGCTCCGGTAATTCCGAAAATGAAAATGGGTGGTGGTGGGTTAAGCGCAAGAAGAGGTATGAAATTACCTGGTGGTCTACCTCCAGCTCCAGCTGCCGCGCCAGGTTCCGAATCAAATGGTGCACCCAACACTGCAAATGGAGGTTCTATGTTTAATCAATTTGCAAAATACGTTGACACGGAGAAAGGAACCTTGAAATTTGCAGGAAAAGCTGTTATTCATGGAGGTGGTATCGATTTTGCAAATGGTACAAATTTCAATATATCTTTGGATGAGGTTGATACCTTGGAAGAATTGGGTAAAGGAAATTATGGTACTGTTTACAAAGTTCGACATGCAAGACCACGAATGCGCAAACCTGGGTTGGGTCTCGCAGGTAACAAATCGTCTACAACGGATACCGATGATGCCGAAGTGAAACCTGGAGGAAATACAACGGGTGTGGTAATGGCAATGAAAGAACTTAGATTGGAACTTGACGAAGCCAAATTCGCCGCTATCATTATGGAATTGGACATCCTTCACAGATGTCTGAGTCCTTACATTATTGACTTTTACGGTGCATTCTTTCAAGAGGGAGCTGTTTACATCTGTATAGAGTTCATGGATGGAGGATCGATTGATAAAATTTACGGAGATGGCATTCCCGAAAATGTCTTGAGGAAAATCACCTATGCGACCACTCAAGGTCTAAAAACCCTGAAAGACGAACACAACATCATCCATCGAGACGTCAAGCCAACGAATATTCTCGTAAATACCAATGGGCAGGTCAAAATTTGTGATTTTGGTGTTTCTGGAAATTTAGTCGCTAGTATCGCGAAAACGAACATTGGATGTCAATCATATATGGCACCAGAAAGAATTTCGGGTGGTGGAATTTCACAAGCTGGTGCAAATCCTGGAGGTGGAACTTATAGTGTACAAAGTGATATTTGGTCCTTGGGATTAAGTGTTATTGAGTGCGCAATGGGAAGATATCCATATCCACCAGAGACATATAATAATATCTTTTCACAATTAAGTGTAAGTTCTCTTATGTTTTATTATTTCTTTATCTTGAGGTTTGAATCTGACATGTAATAGGCAATTGTCGATGGTGAACCACCCGATCTTCCTGCAGAAGGTTTCTCCCCAACTGCTCGCAATTTCGTTCGAGGATGTCTTAACAAAATCCCAAATATGCGTCCTACATACAGCGATTTACTTCAACATCCATGGTTGGCTGAGCTTTCGAAACCAAACACAATTTCGGAAGAAGATGAAGAGGAAGATGAAGATCAGGTCGATGTATGCAGTTTAAGTCTGGAAGATGGTGTAAAACAAGATACATCAAATGGTATCCTGACAGGAACCGAAGACTCAGAGGTTGCAGAATGGGTTAAAAGTGCTATCGAGAGGAAGAAATTGGGTCTCATGGGTACACATGCACAACCCGCCTTACATAAGGCACCATTGGATACGGTTAGTCCGTTGCCGAGTCCGAGGGATTGAGGTAGTGAGGGATTGGTGCAGGGCAAATGAATGAGCTTATGAATTAAGAAGGAATGGGAAAGAGAAAGATGATTTTACATGGCATGGAATGGAGTTTTGGGTGGGCGCCATTACGATTTTTGAACGATTGACAAGCTGGCGGTAGGCAGACTCTATTTTGAGATCCTAGAAGTGCATATTCTGGAGGGAACTCGATTTGTACATTTGAACCTCTTACCTTTTCTTTTTCTTTATTCTTCTCTTTCTGACCTAGGAAACGAAAACGTATCAATTTCTTTTCTTCTTTTTTGATGATGCATAGCATGTATGACGGGTATTAGGCAATAAATGAAATGGATTATCATATTCTTTTGAATGAAGAATGATTTGGGGTATGGGGACATGATAGGAAATGATTGAAATAAACGGAGGCGGGTAGGAGAAGAGGGATGGGGATGGGAGAAAGATAAATACCTTTGAGATTAATGACATGAAATGAAATGACATGAAATGGATTGAAATCACACCAAATCAGCCAACATGTGTTTTTTTGGAATGACTGAGCAGTAGTTACAGTAAGTAGGTAGGTAGGTAGCTGAGAGGAAATGTGGTGGTATGGTCAAGGACGGATTTGGTGATGGGGTTGACGTCGGCTTCGTATTAGGTTGAATTATCGGTGAATTCATCTGGGATGAAGTTGTTTACCTGGAGTTTTACATTTTGACATGGAGATGAATAGATGGATGGGTGGATGGGTGGATTGGATTGGATTGGATTGGATTGGATTGGATTGGATTGGATTGGATTGGATTGGATTGGATTGGATTGGATTGGATTGGATTGGATTGGATTGGATTGGATTGGATTGGATTGGATTGGATTGGATTGGATTGGATTGGATTGGATTGGATTGGATTGGATTGGATTGGATTGGATGTAGGATTTTCGTGTTTCTGCAAGGGACATCGGATTTTAGATGTCATCCATTCATCGCATGTTCCCAACGCCGTTTGAATTGAAGTTTGAATTTTTTATATTTATATTTATTTATATGGATGGATTCGTTTTATTTTACTTGGTGTGGTGTGGTGTGATAGCGTTTGATGTGTATTGGGAGCTGGGAGCTGGGAGCTGGGAGCTGTGTGTTGGGAGCTGTGTGTTGAGTCTTTTTTGGGGGGGATGTTACATTGGATGGATGGAATGAATTAATTTTTATTGGGAGTGTGTGGTATGGTATGTATGGTATGGTATGGTATGGTATGGTATGGTATGGTATGGTATGGTATGGTATTCCTTAAAGGAAATATATATACATGTATGTATATATATATCAGTGAGGTTATCGGGAATGTATATGTATGTCACTAACAGGAATCAATTATTGTCGACTCGAGCGGGTGGATGTGAGTTGTAGAATCGGTGTGAGGGTTTGGTATGGATTAATAGTAAGTAAGATTGTTCTTTTTCTTTCTTTCTTTCTTTCTTTCTTTCTTCTTTCTTTCTTTCTTTCTTTCTTTCTTTCTTTTTGTGATTATGGAAACTATGAAGAATGTTAAGAGTTGGAGAGAATGATCCTGAGTGTTAAGAAAGGAAGGATAACCTTTCTGAGTATAATTGAAGGGGATATCTAGAATATACCAAATCCACCATATCAAATCAAGTCTAGACTTATGTTGATGTAAGATACCATTGGGTGATTTTCCTAAGGCCTGCTCAGAGATGAGATTCCGGACTGCATCGAGACGTTTAGAGATTGAGAGGAGAAGGATAAGGAAGCTGAATTCTCTACGTCTATATTCTACGCGTTATATTATATACCGAAGAAAGTACTGTAAAGTCGATCCGCATCGCATAAAGCTCAAGCTCGCTTAACAATACTGACTGACTGAAATCGACGGATTAGATAAGTTTGTATCCAGAGTGTGGATGTAAAGAGCTCTAGGGAGGAGCAGTATAGGTAATAGTATACTATAGTAAAATGATAGCGTGTATAAAACTTTTGAGATGATAGATAGTGTGTATTAGACAATTGAATATTCATTACTATAGATATCATTTCAAGTGGGTATTCATGAAGATACATGAGAAAACTGAAAAAAAAATTAAAAAAAAAAAAAAAAATTAATCTTAATAAAGCTTAAATAATAATAAAAATACTATTTGATTATTTCTAAATCTCTTAAAACAATCGAATTTGTTAAAATAATATATAATATTAATATTTATATTTAAGGGTATCAAAGAGATCAAATTTTTCAATAATGTTGATAATTTATTATCAATTAATAATATTGTTTTT